GTGTACGTCGTCAGCTCGTTCGTGGTCTCGTCGGCATTCGTCTCGAATTCGAGGCGTCCGAACAGGGCGACGATGAGTTGGCGGTGATTGTTCGGGAATCTCATGATGTTTTTTGGTCCAGCCAAGCCTTCGGACCAGGGCTTCCTCCGCTGGTGGCAGGATCTGCCAGTAGCGAAAAAAACCTCCAGCGTAGTCATGCTGCGCACGGTGCCGTCCTCGTGGTGCGTGCTCGCCCTGCCTGCCATCCCTCTCCCCAGCAAGGCTCCCATTGCGCTCTGTAGTATCTGGTACTCGTTGGTCGCCGGCAGGTAACACTCGATGCGTGAGAGTCCCGTGTTGCTGACCCTGCATATGAGGACGGCGCGCTTCCACCAATGCGGTATCTTGCGCTTGGTCCAGAACTTGCCGCGCTCGTGGTAGCTCTTCTTCATGGCCTGGGTGCGTTTCTGCAGCTCGGGGTAATACTGCTGTGTCGCGGTGACCTGTGGGCCCAGGTACCTCGCTGCCGACGTTACCGTGCCAGGTAGCTTTCACTGCGGGTCCTGCTTGAGTCGTCGATGTGCCTGGCTGGCGCCCGAGCCCTGGAAGTAAACGATCGCCTCCTGCTTGCCCTGGTTCTGCTGGAGGCCGATCTCGGTGAGGCGTGCGTTCAAGGTGTCGTCTATCTTGTGAGCCTGGTCGACGAGGAAGTGGGCGTCTGCTCGCTTCCCTCTCAAGATGAGTTTGTGTATGTCGTCCGCGTACTTGGTCAGACCGGCGTAGACGGGGTGTTGGAATAGTTCGCTCGTGCCGTATAGTAGCTTGCCGTTCGTGGTCTCCTCGTTGCAGTCCTTAGTCCAGCGCTGAATGCAGGGCGCGAGGCTGGCCGCGAAGTTGCGTGCCATGTACGGGTCGCCAATGAGGCCTCCACAGTGGGGCTTGATGCACACGCCCTGCTCATCGTCTCTGCAGTCTATGTTGAAGGTTGCTCGGCGGTAGCGTTGTTCGCCCAGGTCCCAGAGGTCGGTCGGCATGGTATTGCTGTTCGCCGCGTCCATGGTGGCCCACTTGCAGCTGGCAAACGCGTTGGACATATCCTTCATGGTGGGCGCGTAGTTGTAGCCTGCCATTCGTGCTCTGTACTCGATGACCGCCATGGTGAGGATCGCGCCTTCCCTGCGTCTGCCCTCGATGAAGCCGTAGTCCTGGTCGGTGTGGGTGCGCTTCTGTTGTCGGCGCAGCGCCGCCGCGTAGTGCGCCTTGCCGATCGGGTCCATGATGTGGTAGGTCCTCTTGCCCGCTGGGCCTTTCTTCGTGTCATTTTCTTCTTATTCTTTTTTTCTCCTCCTCTTCTGCTGTCGCCGTGCTCTGATGCCAGCGCACTGGTGCCGCATTACTGATGCGCATCGCTGCCAGCGCCGCCTTGAGCAGAGCTTGAAATTGAACAGGTTCGCCGTCGCCTGCTTGGTGTCCGAGTCCGTGTCATTGTCGTGGTTGTCGATCTTGATCTGGCGGGCAAAGCAGTAGTCGCCATACTTCTGCTGGAGCCGCTGTCGGTGGTGCTGCTCGTCGGAGGCGTGAACGTTTGAGGCACTTCGCGATCGCGTTGTAATCCTCCTCGATCTTCTCCTCTAGGTCGTTCTCAAAGTAGTCCTGCTCCTCCGCGTTGTGTGGAATGGCCTCCAGGTGTTGCGTGTCCTGCTCTGTGCCCTCCATGCCGCCTGCTCCTCCTGGAAGTTGCCAGAACTCTAGCCATTCCTGCTTAGTTGGGTTTGCCGTCGTCGCCGTCCAATAGTCCCTCTTGCGTGGTCCGTGCCGCCCGCCTGCTATCAGTCGAGAGAGTCGTCCTACCCGGGCTTGGTCGCGTTGCTCCCACGTTTCCTGCATCTCCTCCACGCGGAGGTCGGTACGCTGTTGCTGTGCCCGTCGTCGTTGTAGTTGGCACGCCCGAGTGATGTCTCGAAGCTGCGTCTCTATCCTGCGCATGCGCCGTTCTGTATCGGTGAGTGGCGTTGGTTCCGCCTCGGCGCATGGGTTGCCTTCTGTATTTCTCTGGTCCTGAGTCGCCGTCGCGGGAGGGTCCCTGGAGTCGAGCTCGTCCGCGCAGAGCGGGGGTGGCGACGATGCGGTCGCAGGCGCGCGGAGAGCCTGTGGTAGTTGCGTGGAGGTCATGAAGTTCGGCTCTAGCTGCTCTGCGATCTCGGAGGAGTTGCATGCGTTCGCGGCGTAGATCCTCGTACTCGTCCGTCGGTGTCGGCGCCTTGCTGTAGTACCTCTGTGCTTTCTCGATGAGCATGGCATTGATGTCCTGGAAGAGTTGGTCCACTCCTTTGCCTGCTGGATCGTAATCTTGCATGGCCTGCTCCACCTGCTCGATGAACTCCCCTCGGTGAAGCCCCTGTCGTACTGCGTGGGCCAAGCTGTCCTTGTCCCACTTGGGTGGCTGGGGTCGGTGTTGTACTCGCTGTCGTAGTGGTAGGCGAAACGTCACGTGAACTGGAACGTGATCCCGTCGTGCTCGGCATCGGATGTGTTGAAGGCGCGCTCCCATGTGTAGCAGGGGTCCTTGTGATATCATCGTTTCTGTCATGCTCGGCGGTATCATGATGTAGTCGATGCAGCTGGCCAGCGCCTCCTGGTAGTCGCTCTGGTGATCGTCCTTCGCCGAGTGCTGCCGTCTCTGGTCGGTCGCCCTTGCTCGTGATGCCCACTCCGTCGTTGAGGTCGCCTGCCACGATGAGCATCGTATTGCGGTTCTTCTGCTGGCTAACGTCTTCTATCCAAGCGAACAGGCGGCTGGTCGTCGCGTAGTAGTCCTTGCGTGCCGTCTTGCCCTTGGTGGGCTGCGGTGGGCTGTAGTATCCGATGATCAGCATGGTCTGGTCGTGGTGCTGCAGGGTGATCGCGAGTCCTCGTCCGCTGATTTCCTGTGGTGGCTCATGTAGTTCCGTCACCTTGGCGCCTCGTAGTCGACCCTGAAGAGCTATGATGGTGCCCGTGCTGCGGTTGGTCAGGTCGCCTGGCTGCCAGCCCGCCTCGTAGTAGCGGGTGTCGGCGCTGCGGTGCTGCGTGATGCTGGGGTCGCGTCTTCTGCGGGAGGTCCCAGTCAGCACGATAATGTCGAAGTTGTGAGCCTCCTCGTATATCTCCGCCAGCCTGTCGGGCTTTGCCGAGAGCGGGTTGAAGAGAAGCACTGCGAGAGATGCTGTTAGTGCCGCCATCATGCGGGCCGCCGCCCCTTCTGTCAGCTCGGACTGAGGAATGGCATGGTGGCGGTCTGGGCTGCCCTGACAATCTCTTAGGCCCAGATGGCAGCTGGAGGAGGAGGAGGAGGAGGAGGAGGAGGAGGAGGAGGAGGAGGAGGAGGAGGAGGAGGAGCGTCTGGGGGCCTCCCTGGACTTCTGCAGGCAGGGCTGGGGGAGGGGCAGGAGGGCGCCGAGGCTGCGCCGGCACCGGCCCTGGCCAGGCCCGTCCCGGGCCCAGGACTGGCCTGCCCAGGACCGGCGCCAGCGTGCTGCTGGCGCCCTGGAGAGGGGGAAGGAGAAGGGGAGGGCACAGAAGGGGATGGAGAGGCGCGCGGAAGGGGAGACGGGGAGTGGGAATCAAAACGCATGCATGGCTATCCCAGATCTCATGACAATGGGGGGGGGGTCTGCTTCTGGGGGGGGGGTCTCACGGGCTTCGTCAAACACATTTGTGGGGGGGTCTCGATTTTGGACCTTTTGTTGCCTGTCTTGGGGGGGGGTCCCAGACCGGCCATCTAACACTTTTTTGACCCCCCCACCACCATTATGAGATTTGCAGTATCAGGCCCAATGGCACAGAGGTGGGCCAAGTGTTTTCATGCAAATAATAAACAAGTGCGGACTCCTTCTCACATGTGACGCTTGCACAGTATGCCATGGCCAAAAGAGTATCTTCGGACAAGCATTCATGTATCAACAGTATGCTGCAACGATTAGAAGAGTAGCTTCCGAGATGAAGCTGGGTGCTGGTCTAATAGAAACAACGTTGCAACCGCAGTCGTGATTGAATCGGGCACCAAACCACCCGAAAGGAGGCAGACTCGCGCGACGAGCATACCTGCGAGATGGCCCAAGCGGGCCACCAGAGCGCTGCAAGGGCTCTGAGCCCCCCAGGGATCCCCCAAGAGGCCAACGTCCATCGCGAGCAATGTGTTGTTCGATGTTTTTTCCACATCGCCTTTTCGCTTTCCATGGGCCTCTGGAGCTTCAAGATGTCCCCAAGATGGCCCAAGTGCCACTATGACCCCAAGAGCGCCCCAAATGCTTTCAAGACATTCCCAAGAGGCGGCTTGAGGGCTCCAAGAGGCCCCCAAGGAGCCCCAAGAGGAACCCGAGACCCCCCACATGAGCTCCAAGCGTGTCCTAAGAAGGGCCCCGAGAGAGCCCGAAGACGACTCCAAAATGACGAAGTCCCCAAAGAGGCTCTCGCAACAGAAAATCTGCGAAGGCCTCCTCATCCTTTCCTTCCCTCCTGCCGCCTCCTCCTGCCTCCTCCTCCTCCTCCTCCTCCTGCCTCCTCCTCCTCCTCCTGCCTCCTCCTCCTCCTCCTCCTCCTCTTCCTCATCCTCCTCCTCCTCCTCCTCCTCCTCTCGCCTCCTCATTTCTCCTCATCTGCGCCCTTGTCCTCCTCCTCCTCCTCCTCCTCCTCTTCCTCCTCCTCCTCCTCCTCCTCCTCCTCCTCATTCCTCCTCCTCCTCCTCTTCCTCATTTCTCCTCCTCCTCCTGGTATCTCCTCCCTCCTCCCCGTCTTCCTCGCAATCGTCGTCGCCGCCCCCATGCGGGTCCCAGAGATGGACTCAAGAGGCCCTGGAGCACCAAATCTCTCAATTCACCCTATTGCCCGCTGTGTTTCGCAAAATGTGTGTCTTCCTTCCTTTTCCCGTCAACTCTCATGAATATCGTTTCTGGATGGGCTGGTGGGGATTCGCGAAACGCCAAGAGCTGTGGGTCGGATCCAGCCGGGACCACCAGGACGCCCTAGGAGACTCAATAAGGCCACCAACTACACAAAGATCTCAGCCATCGATGCTCCTGTATCCTCTTCCTCCGTCTCCCACTCTGGGGAAGTCTCTGCAGGTCCCTGAGCCCCCCCCCAAAGGGGCTCAACAAAGGGACACGCACTACAAAAACCTCGACCACCGAGCCTCGAGGACCAAGAAGAACGAGGACCACCCCCTTCGCCTCCTCGTCCGCCTCAGGCTCCTCCTTCTCCTCTGGACGCCGCCGCACGGCACGCAGACTGGGCCTTATCTCGCCTTGCAGAAGTTGTTCGTGGCGGTGTTGTCGTTGGTGCAGGAGATCGTCCCCTCTGTGCGCGCCGCTGCTGAAGATCGTCGTCGTCGTCGTCTTCGAGGGGGGAGGGGGAGGATGAAGGGCGCGGAAACAGGACAACTTGCTTCCTGGGTGGACGTGCTGCCCGTGGCAAGTCGTGCGCTTCTGGTTGCGCGGCCGAGATGGGCCGGTGGAACGGCGGGCGGACAGGGGTAACAGAGGAATCGGCGGTGGACAAACCTGCCTTTAGTAAACCTCCCCTTACTGAAAGCGGCCTGGGACCGAAGCCGACGGACCTGGACCCGCAAAATGACGGCCGCGACGCCCTCTCGCGAGCCGAAAACGGCCAACTCTTTAATCGACATGTCAGGGTAGCAGGTCTATCCACCTCCGAAGGGAGGACGTGGTGGCGCCGCAGCGGAGCGCAGGAAACCATGGGGGCAAGGACGCCGGGCCAGCGGAGAGGGGAGGGGAGAGGCGAGATCCGAAGCTTCGGAGCGAGCGCTGCGCGCCTCGGGTGCCACGAGCGCAGCGCAGGTGGGGAAACACCGTGGCACGGCAGGAAGCCCCTCGGCCTGGGCGGAGCGAGCGCAGTCGCGTCGGAGCGGGGAGGCTGCCCCATGCCACAGACAGCAGCGCGGGCGGCCCGTGGCAACCGGACGGGCACTGCTGGCCACGCGGGAACCTCGCCGAGCAGGCCCATTCGGGCGGAGGCGCTGCTCCGAGGTGCCCTGATGCGTCCTCGGCTCTGGAGTGCCATGGGGGACCTGCTCTAGGACAGGAGCGTACCGTGGACGGATCTGCCCCTTCTCCGACCTTGCAGCGGCCACGTTGTCCATAGACGTATCCACGCCGCGTGTCTGTGGACGTCACGGGCCCAACGGGTCCACAGACGCTTCTGGCTAGGACGTGAGAGCGGTACTTGGCATCGGGCCCCAGATGTTTTTTGGGGAACGAAAAATGACATACATTACCCCAGAGCGACCATACCTAGAAGTTGGAGCCCCTAGGAAAGCAGCATTCGTTGCTATGCTATGCTGTGCTATGCTATGCCATGCTATGCTGCGCTATGCTGCGCTATGCTATGCTATGCTATGCTTTGCTATGATATGCTATGCTATGATAAGGTATGCTATGTCTATGCGATGCTGCGCTATGCTATGCTATGCTATGCTGAGCCATGCTATGCTATGCAATGCAATGCTAACCTGCGCTATGCTATGCTATGCTATGCTATGTTATACTATACTATGCTGCGCTATGCTATGATATGCTATGCTATGCTATACTTGGCTATATTCTGCTATGCTATGCGATATGCAATCGGTTGAGCTAAGATGAGATAAGCAACGCTAAGCTAAGGGGACGTAACTGGGGGAACCGCGGGGCGGATGCTGGGGGAACCGCCCGGGGCGCTTTCCACTGCCCGGCCCTTTAAGCCCAGAGAGTAAGAACTCTTCTAGGCAGAGCCTAGGTAGGGAACATAACAACTCGGAGGTCCGCGGGGATTTCTCGGATCCGCGCTGGACCCCCCTCCCTGGCGCGCGGAGCGCGCCAGGGGCGGCGCCCGAGGCGCCGCCAGGGGGGTCCAGCGCCGTTCCGAGGAATCCGCGCGGACCTCCGAGTTTTTATGTGTATGTCACTTTTTGTTCCCCTAGTTTTAGTCTTCCAGAAGCAGGCAAGCTTGGCCCCCCAACCTCGGCTGCACAAAACACTGCCGCCTCTCATGCATGCGCTCTCGCGCGAAGCAGCCCACGGCCAGGCCCCCGGCACAGCAGCCACTGCCCACGGGAACGGAATCGGGGACCGCACCTCAGAGCAACGACTGACTGCATGACATAAAAACGACCCTAGGGTTATGTCGGGCCTGTCCCCCTACAGGGAGATTTTCGACGAACAATAAGAAATACCCCAACAATGCCCCCCAAAGGCAAACAAATACTCAAAAAATAATCAAAGGACTATTTTTTTGGCTATTTTTTGGTGTATTTTGTGGGTATTTCTTATTTTTTCGTGGAAAATCCCCCTGTAAGGGGACAGGCCCGAAGTCAGCGCGGATTTCCTGGATCCGCGCTGGACCTCCCTCCCTGACGCGCGGAGCGCGCCAGGGGTGGCGCCGGAGGCGCCGCCCGGGGGGGCCCGGTGCCGATCCGAGAGGTCCGCGCGCACCTCGGAGAAATTCTGTTCATTCCGTTGCCCGCTCTGCGACACCTCCTCCTCCTCCTCCTCCTCCTCCTCCTCCTCGTGCTGTGTGTGTGCCCAGCTCGGCCCCGCAGCGCCCCTCGACCCGAGTGGCCGCCACCAGAGAGCTCTGCGACGGGCTGCGTCCTCGCTGATGGGGCCCCCTCGGCCCCCGGACGCGTGCCGATTCATCTCCCTCGCTCGGCAGGTTTCGCGGGCACTCTTGGAAGTGCAGTATTGACGAGATGTTCCAGAGTGATCGCAGGCGTCAGGCGCTAGAGAACGGTGCGTTTGGCATCGAGGCCACGGATTTTCCTGGGGGTAATGGTGGAGAAGACGCTGTTTGAGAGGCATCGCTGGAGCGGTTGCTGCAGAATGATTGTCGTTCTGCTCGCTTCCCGCGCGCGCTCGCCCGAGCGAGCGGCGAGGCACGGGTCTTGCGCAGGTGGCGTGGCGACCTTGCGCGGTGAATCTGCGCGGGGCCGCCAGCGTGGCACGCCACAGCTCCAGACGAGGGAGCTCGCGCGCGGACCCCGCGCGGGCAGCTCCCGCGCCGGTGCCGGTGACGGCCCCGCGCAAGTGGCGGCCCTGGCGCTGCGTGCTCCCCCAGCGCCGCCCTGCACTTTGCGACCCTGGTCGACCGAGGGCCTGGGCGTTGCTCAAATGCGGGGGGGGGGGGAGGCGATGACTGAGAGGGCTAAGAAACGTGCTTTCGTGCCCCTCTCGGGCCCAAGGGGCCCCTGTGGGGCCCCGTTCGGGCACAACCGTCACGGCGAGACTGGGGGGAGAAGTGAGATGGGGGCGGGCTTTCTACGTAGGCTCGGAAGGCCTCGGACCTTCTGAGAAGTGTACTGAGCCTTCCCCGATGACACAGAACACTTCTCAGAAGGCCTAAGAGCTCCTGAGAAGCCCCGGCCGCCTTCTGAGAAGGGCCTGCCCCCTCTCACTTCCCCACTGGGCGCGCCGCCGAATTTCGAGCAGGAGATCGACTGCAGAATTGATTTACCCCGAAAGCGAACGTTTACTCTTGTCGTCGACGCTACGACGGGAAGAACATCAATGTTGGGGTAACTCGATTCTGTAGTCGATCCCCTACTCTAAAGGCCTCGTAGATGGGATCCGGGTAGACGGGGTCGAAGAATCGCGCCGCATCGCCAATGCATCGGCGATGCATCGGCGACGTCGGCGATGCATCGGCGACGTCGGCGTGGAGAAATACGGGCTCCACATCGAGCCGCTCGCCGACGTATCTCGGCGATGCATCGGCGATGCGGCGCGATCCTCCGACCCCATCTGCTCCGACCCCATCTGGGGGACAGAAGGTTATTTGGTCGATCCCCTGCTCGAGAATCGGGGGCGGCCAAGAGGGGGGGCGCAAATCATGGCCGGCGGCACGTGCGCGGCTCCCGGGGGGGGGGGGGGGGGGCAGGGACGTAATGAAACAAGAAGAGGCGCCGTGAGATCTCAGGACATGTCCTGGCCCACGCCGTGGCACCTGCCCCCCCCCCCTAGTCGTCACCCCGACCTTTGCCTCCCCGACTCGAAAAAAAAGGCGGCGGCGCCCACCGCGCCCATGCCGCCTGCGGGCTCCACCCCGAGCCCCGCCGCGAGGCGCCGCCCCTCGGCGACGGCGCGCGGGCTCCCACGGGGGAGGCGGCAGGCCGAGAGGGCCCTGCGGCAGCCGCTCGAGCTCCGCGCAGGGGCGCGGAAAGGGGGCACTGCCACTTGCCGTCGCTCGGACGTCCACTTCCCGTGCATGTTTCGCTTTCCTTTTTTTTTTGTTTCTCTATTTGTTTCGATGGTCCAGGATGGTCCTCGATGGTTCTCGCCGAGGAAAAATGCACACTTCCGAGCGATGCCAAGGCCAGAGGCTTCCCAGCTGGGGTCCGAAGAGGTGGGGTCGAAGGATCGCGCCGCATCGCCACTGCATCGCCAACGCATCGGCGATGCATCGGCCATTCATCCGCGACGTCGGCGTGGAGGAAATTGGGCCGCACATCGAGCCGCCCCGCCGATGCATCGCCGATGTATCGGCGATGCGGCGCGATCTTCCGACCCCATCTACTCCGACCTCATCCAGGAGGCGTAGAACTATTGAACCAAACGCAAGTTTGATACCTTCCAACGGTCTCCAAACAGTTTGCACTCATCGGATCTTACTTCTCTTCTGAGGAGCTGGGCTGGTGTGGCGGTCTGGCTGTCGCCGTCGCTGCCCCATCGCCGCCTCGTCAACGCCCGTCGTCTGGACCGCGGTTTGGCGGCCATGTTGTCGCCGTCGCCGTCCCGTCGCCGCCTCGTCAACGCCCGTCGTCTGGGCCGTTGTGGCGGTCTGGCGATGTTGTCGCCGTCGCCGTCCCGTCGCTTTGCACTACATAGATTGCTCTACGTAGGTCGCACGCCAAATATTGCACCACATAGACTCATCCACATAGATCGCAAAACATAGGTTCTCCTTTCTTACCACCAGTTACAATATACCCCCCCCGGGTTATCGGCACTCCTTTTTCGTAGTGCGCTTTACATATAATTCTCCCCCATCGCCCATCCTAAAACCATCCCAGCCAGGCCGGTTTCGACACCCCCCGTCATCCTCTGCAGATTAAAAACTATGCGCGAGCATTCGCTTTCACAAATCATCAGTTTCCAACGACCCCTTGCAAACAAGAGGAACGGGACGAAACGCGCGCGCGCGCGTCGTCGCGCGCGCATGCCGAATTCATTAAAAACCGTAGGTGTCGTAAGGACGTCGCAATCGAGTGTCGAAAACACATGCAAAAACACATGGTTCCGCAACGCGGATTTTCAGAAAAGCGTGCGCGCGCGCTCTTGTCCTTTGTTTAGGAAAACACGGTTTTTCAACATGTTCACAACGTGCTGCCAAATGGGTTGCGCGCGCATGTCGAAATCGTTCGAACGCCCTTGCGCGTGCTGTCGCGAGAATCGTTTGCAACAAATGCGACGAAATTCGCGCGGGCGCGTCTTCGCGCGAGCATGCCGGAATACATACAAACAAACCCCAAGTTTCGCAAGGATGTCGAAATCGAGTGCCCAAGAAACAAAAAAAACAAGTGGTTTCGCAACGTCAGTTTTCAAAAAAGCCTGCGCTCGCGTTCCTGCGAATTCTTAAGAAAATCCGAATTCCAACCTTTTTACCGAATTCAGCCAAAGGGGCCTCTCGCGCCGCCTGCCGGAATCATTCGACAGCCCTTGCGCGCGTGCCACCGCGCGGGCGACGCCGGCAGCCGAGCCGCAGCCGCCGCGGCCGCGGCGTCGGCCGCCGCGCGAGCAGCCGCAGCGCCAGCGGCCGCGGCAGCGGCGCGCGCAGCGGCCGGCCCCAGGGCGGCCGCGCGAGCCACGGCGGCAGACGGGCAGCCAGCCGCGGCGGCGGCAGCCGCGTCGGAGGTGGCCCGAGCGGCAGCGGCGCCCACGGCGGGGCCGGCGCTCGCGGCCGCGGCGCCGGCGGCCGCGGCGGCCGGCCGCGCGGAGCAGGAGGCCGCGGCCATGAGGCGCACGCGCCGGCGGTGCGGCCGGCGGCCGGGCTGCGGAAGGCCGGGCGGCGGCGCCGCGGCACCGGCCAAAGCCGCGCCGGCGGCGCGAGCGGCGGCCGCGCGGCGCTGCCGCCGACGCCGCGCAGAGGGGGCCTCGGTGCCCCCGCTACGCCGGGTGCGCGGGCGGCGGCAGCCTGGCGCCGCCGCCGCCGCCGCAGCGGTCTCCATCGCCCGGGGGCGGCGGCCTAGAGTGCGCGCCCGCAGGGCCGCGGGACCCAGGCTGCGCAAGCCACCTCGAGCCGAGACGGCATGAGCCAGGGGCTACGCACACACACGCAAACACAAACACACACACAGACACACACACACACACACCAGACACACACACACACACACACACCAGACACACACACACCAGACACACACACACACACCAGACACACACACAAACACACACACTCACACGCACGCTCACACTCCCTCTCACTCTCACTCTCACTCACACACACACACACGCACGCACCACACACACACACGCACGCACACACACAGACACAAACACAGCCACAGCCACAGCCACAGCCAAGCACACGCACACGCACACGCACGCGCACGCGCAGACCCAGACCCAGAACCACAACCACACCCACATCCATTCGCACACGCACACGCACACGCACGCGCACAAGCACAAGCACGCGCACACGCACACGCACGCGCACACGCACACGCACGCGCACACGCACGCGCACACGCACGCGCACATGCATACGCACGCGCACGCGCACGCGCACACCCAGACGCTCACGCACACGCACACGCACCCGCACGCGCACGCGCACACGCACACGCACGCGCACACGCACACGCACACGCACACGCACACGCACACGCACACGCACACGCACACGCACACGCACACGCACACACACAAACACACACACACACACACGCACGCACGCACACACACACACACACATGCACGCACGCACGTGCGAACGCACGCACGCACACGCGTACGCACACACAGACACAATGAGACACACAGAGACACGCAAACACACAGACAAAAGACACAAACACAGACACACAGACACACAGACACACAGGCACAGCAACACAGCAACACAGAGACACAATGACACAGACACACAAACACACAGACACACAACCGCAAAGAGGCACAGAGAGGCACAGACAGGCACGGAGAGGCACAGAGAGGCACTGTGAGGCACAGAGAGGCACGGAGAGGCACAGAGATGCCCAGAGATGCCCAGAGAGGCACCGTGAGGCACAGAGAGGCACAGAGAGGCCCAAAGAGGCACCGTGAGGCACAGAGAGGCACAGAGAGGCACAGAGAGGCACAGAGAGGCACAGAGAGACCCAGAGAGACCCAGAGAGACCCAGAGAGACACACAGAGACAGAGACACACACACACACACGGACACACACACACAGACACACACACACACACACACATACACACACGCACACGCACACACTGGGCGCTTGTGCATATGTACAGCTGCTCGGATGGAGGGCAGTTCGTGCTCCAAACTGGGCTGTCGCTTGAGACTCCGAAGTCCATGGCGACAGGTGCGCTCCGCATTTCACGTGCCGTCGCTCGGACGTCCATTCCCCGTGCATGTTTCGGTCCCGTGCGTGTTTTTTTTTTGCTCGATGGTCCAGGATAGTCCTCGATGGTTCTCGCCGAGAAGACATGCACACGTCCGAGCGATGCCGAGTTCACAGTGAAAGCGGGTGGTCTGATCTGGGGGGGTCTGCCCTGAGCTGTCTTGGAGGCTTCCACGGGGCCCGGGAAAGAGGCCGCCCTTGCATGGCTGGTCCGGGGGTGGGGCCTATGCCTGCTGGTCTGGGAGGGTTGCGACCTCTCCCTCGTAGTGCGGACCTTGGAGTACTCCAGATTTCTTGATAAAAGGGAGGGGGTCACAACCCTCCCAGACGAAAAGTTTTAGACCCCTCCAGACCATCCATGAAAGGGCGGCCCTTCGCCCAGACCCCCCCCGAACCCTCCGAGACAGCTCAAATCAGACCCCCCCCAAATGTGACCCCCCCACTTTATTATGGAATCCGGAGTAACCAGGTGTACAAATTACACGGCTGGAAGGCGCCCCTTTCAAAAACCGGGACATCGCCGGACACCTCGTGGAATCGTATGATCATACCTGTTCATAGGGCAGGAGGAGGAGGAGGGTCCTCCAAATTCCCATACCAGGATGGGACGCACATCGTTTTCAAAACGAGGCCCCCGCCGGAATGTCGGAGCCTTGGGGTGCGGGTCTTTCCAGGAGGGCGTTTCTTGCAGGGCAGGCCTGTACCGACTCATGCAGAGGGAGCGTGGTTCGGGAGGGTGAAGTATCTTGGGATTACTCGGTTTCCTCCTCCTCCTCCTCCTCTGCCTTCTCTGTTTCCTCCTCCTCCTCCTCCTCCTCCTCCTCTCTTCCCTCTTCTCCTCGTCGATGAAGGGAGCTCTGGATAAACGGGACTAGGGATGGGCACTTCTAGAGGGATAGAGCTGGTTCGCGCCATGTCAACTTGAACGCCTGACACCGCGCCAGCCCTTCAATATTGAGCGATCTCCACTGTCCTGCAGTGGAGGTCTTCGAGCTGGGTCTGGCTCAGGCCGCCTGTGGCCTTCAACCTTGAGCGCGCGCAAGTGTGGCTGCCGCGTCGACGCGACGCGAACCTGCCGCAAGCAGGAGCTGGAAGGTGGACAAGGTAGACAACGATCAAACTCGTCTCGGAACGAGGAGCCGGCCACCCTTGACGAAGAACTTGAAGTCTTCTCATCGTCCTCCCCACCCTCCTGGCAACGAATCGAGAGCAGCGGGCCGAGTCTATTGTGATGGTCATGCCAGTCGCGACGGTGACAAGCCCGTTGAGCGTAACCTCGGTGCCACCCCGATCGTGGCGACCAGCTGGATGCACCCGAAGCCCACAGGGAACCACGTATCCCCTCGAACCTAAATCCTCCTCCCACGTCCCCTGTCCGTGCTCTCGTGCGCGCGCTATCATGAGGGCCGTGGGGAGGGGTGGGGCTAGGAGAGAAGTGGGCTCTGTCTCCCTCCTGCCCTCCTGCGCAATTGTGCCGTCGCTCTGAGCCCGCAGCGCCGCGCGTCTCCGACTCCTCACTCCCGCATCCCCCTCTCCCGCTCCCCCTCCCTTCTCTCCGTTCTGCCCCCGCCCGCTTCAACACACCGCTCAGCTCAACCGGATATTGTCGGTAATGAGCTTCGCCCACTCCGACTCTCTTGTAGTTAGTTCACTTGGCTTGCTATGTGGGGCACTTGGTTACAACCCCACCGCCCAAATAAACAGTGCGAAACGTAGATTATCACTGGCAGGCAATGTTTCTATCAACCCCTTGTCAACTTCCGATAGCGCACCGAGGACACTCAGTGGTCCACCAAGGGCGCCGTTCAACATTTCACATCATCCAGGGAACGTTGAGGCAACACCGTCGCCAAATACTAGCTCGCGGCACTCAGAAACCTGACAGTACGGCACCGCTGCGCACGCCCGCATAGCTTTCCCCGCCCATTTTGGGAGGAGGAGGCGAGGAGGAGGAGGAGGAGGAGGAGGAGGAGGGGGGGAGGGGGAGGAGGGGGAGGAGGGGGAGGAGGAGGGGCAGGAGGGGGAGGAGGGGGAGGGGAGGAGGGGTCGAGGGGGGAGGAGGGGGAGGAGGAGGGGGAGGGGGGAGGAGGGGGAGGAGAGGAGGAGGAGGAGGAGGAGGAGGAGGAGGAGGAGGAGGAACGCCCATCCGACGGACCGAGCCCCGCTGGGAGTTCTGCCTGCGGCGCCAGCGGGCGCGGCCGCGTGCCCCCCCCGCCCACTCCAGCAGAACGCTCGCACGGGTCTTGCCGCTCGGAAGCTCCGCCTGCGGCCCGGGTGGGACCGCTCGCACACGGACCCCACACGACTGTTTGGCGACGAGCGAGGGGGGGAAGTGAGAAGGAGGAGGCCTTCTCAGAAGGCGGCGGGACTTCTCGGAAGCCCCCGCGCATTCCGAGGAGTTATGTGTTAATGTCTTCGGGGAAGGCTCAGAACACTTCTCAGAAGGCGCGGTGACTTCCGAACCTTCCGATAAGGCCTTCTCCTTCTCACTTCCCTCCCTCGCTCGCCGCCGAACTGTGCCATAGGGTCGTGCAGCTCCCATCGTGCTCAAGGGCCGCATCCCAGAACGAGTCTCGCGCACCCAGAGGAGTATCGGAACGGTGTCAAACGAGCATCGCCTCCCAGGGACCGACACGCGAAAGCCCTCCAGTTTCGGCACTTCCTTGGTGCTCTAAGTTCGTTCTGGCGATCAAAGCTGACGTAGGTTGGAACATCATGACCATAAGGGGCTCCACCCTACGGCACCAGCAGGCACGCCCGCATGCCGTCCGCCCGCCCCGTTCGTCACGCCCATCGCGTGGATCGTGCCCCACAGGAAATACGAATTGCCCCGTGCTGTTCGGCACACCTCTCACATGGACTATGCCCAGTCCCATGAAGAACTTCGCCGAATGGACTCCCCGCTCATCTCGGCACATCCCTCACACGGACTGCACCCCACGAGGAGCACCACCTAGTTTGTCGCGGCCTTGGTGGGCAGACCTGGGCGCCCCCCTCCTTTCGGTACACCCCTCCCTCGCACGGATATCCCGTAGGGTTTCCGCGTCGCTGAGCGCGTCCACATGCGGACCCCCGCCAGTGTCGGCACAACCGTTACACTGGTCGCGCTCACACTGAGCTCCAAGTACGGCCCCAATGAACTCGTCCGCATTGCGTCCCCCCCCCCCCTCTGACACCTGTCACACGGATCGTCCGCGACAGAGGGCTCCACCTACGACCCCAGTGGGCGCGTCCGCATGACATGGCTCCGCCCGTTTCGGCACAACCTTCACGCGGACCGTGCCCACGGGGTGGAGGGAAGGGGAAGCTCTTGTGCTCCTCGTCTCTTCGTTGTGAGCGTTTTCTGATTCGGCGTTTCGACATTGGGCGGAAGGGGGGGGAGGGGGGGGATGTCTGGCTCCGGCGGACCTCTGCTGAATGCGGCTGCTTGCAACAGGGCGTCCATTATGGGGGAGGCTCCACATGCTCCAAACAGGCGCAAAAAAACAGCCAAGATCCACTCCAGGAGGGGGGGATGAGGAGTGTTTGGGGGCCCGCGCCGATCGGCAAAACAAGGCATAAAAACGATCAGGTTTTTCTCCTCCCCCTGGACAGGTTCCCCCGGGGTCGTATGCGACCCGAGGAGGGGAGGGCGAAGAGGAGGAGGAGGAGGAGGAGGAGGAGGAGGAGGAGGAGGAGGAGCAGGAGGAGGAGGAGGAGGAGGAGGAGGAGGGGGAATGAGGAGGAGGAGGAGGAGGAGGAGGAGGAGGAGGAGACGCAAGCCCAATAAACTCAACCGAAGAAACGAGGGCGCCACGAGTGAATACGGAAAACGCGGCAATCCCTTTAGCCGCGTTGGGTGTCACTTCTTAGGTGAACTCCCGTTCGCGGGTGACGTTTGGCCTTAAGGTTACTTAGGGCCATGATTATTCCCTCCTCCTCCTCCTCCTCCTCCTCCTTTGTCCTTCCTCCTTCCTCCTCCTCCTCCTCCTCTTTCTCCTCCTCATTCGCCTCCGCCTCCGCCTCCTCCTCCTCCTCCTCCTCCTCCTCCTCCTCCTCCTGCTCCTCCTCCTCCCTCTCCTCCTCCTCCTCCCCCTCCTCTGCTCCACCTCCTCCTCCTCCTCCTCCTCCTCTTCCTCCTCCTCCTCCTCCTCCTCCTCCTACTTCTCCTCCATCTCCTCCTCCCCATCCCCCTCCTCCACCTCCTCCTCCTCCTCGAGTCGCCTACGGCCCCGGGGGAAACCGTGCACGCCACCCCTGGCTGGTTGGCGGCCTCCGACGGCGGCGCCACCCTTGGCAGGCAAGTCCCGGCGGGAAAGTTTCGGGCTGCGCACAGACAGGCCCCTCCCCAGGTAGTCTGGGCTGGCCTCAACAGGCCCCTCGAGTACTCCCAGTTGGCCTCAACATGCCACCGAATATTCCAGGGCGGTTTCAACAGCCTGGCGACGCCTCGGGCGGCGCCCCTAGGGTGCTTCGCGCCTCAGGGTTGACAAGAAACCCAACCCTGAGACCCCAGGGCGTCCATCGATTCTTGGTGTGGGAACGTCACGCTTTCCATCGCAAAACCATCGAAGCCCAAGAAACCCAGGGCACCCTGGAGGCAAGCAGGGTGTTTCTTGGCATGGGCCCCCACTGTACGCGGGGTGACGTGCTTACGCCGCAGCCGACGCTGGCCGAAACCGCTGCATGCTGCGCAGGAAACGAGGGCGCCTACGCGCGACCTTACACAGGCAGCTGACGCGCGAGTGTCGGCACAGACGGCCGTGTCCGCACCATGTAGACTCAAGTGGCGCTCAAGTGGGCTGTCCGCGTCGCTCAAGTGGCGGACCTCGTAGTCCGCACCATGTGCACTGCCCCCAGAGGAGGGGCGCTTCCTTCAGGCCGTGGCAGCAGAAGGCCACGACCTCCAGCAATAGCGCGCAATAACCATGCGCGGGAGGCGCTGCTCACGGCCATCAATCGTTGCCCGCTTCCTGCACGGGTTCCCCCGGGGCCGTAGGCGACCCGAGGAGGAGGAGGAGGTGGAGGAGGGGGAGGAGGACCAGATGGAGGAGGAGGAGGAGGAGGAGGAGGAGAAGAAGGATGAGGAGGACGGAGGATGAGGAGAATGAGGATGAGGAGGATGAGGAGAGGAGGAGAGGAGGGAGGAGGAGAGGAGGGGGGGAGAGGAGGGGGAGGAGGAGGAGGAGGAGGAGGAGGAGAGGAGGAGGAGGAGGAGGAGGAGGAGGAGGAGGAGGACGGGTCGCCTAAGCCCTTCGGAGAAACCCTCCAACGCTTCCCTGAGCCGACGGGCCCCGCCATCCGAGGAAACGGGCCCGGCCAATGTCGACCCGGTGGCCCTGGCGCGCGCGCCCCCGCCGGTCCTCCGGCGTGCGGCCGAGTCGCGCCACTCCTGTGGCGGCGCCGCTGGTGCAGCCGCGGCCGCGGCCGCGGCCGCGCTGGCAGCGGGGACTGATGCACCACCCCTCGCGGCGCATGCGCTCGGTTGCGATGGGTGGCCGTTGGGCGGATGGGCAATTGTGTGTGTGTGTGTGGTGTGTGCGGCCATACGCTGGAGCGGACTGCCTCTGCCGCGCCGCCGACGGAAAAAATATGTGTGTGTGTGTTGTGTGTGTTGTGTGTGTGTGTGTGCCTCTTGCCTCTCTTTGGCGAGGGCGATCGGACTCGGCGCCTCGTCGTGGTGGTGCGGCTCGTGCCCCACCTCCTCGGTCCCCTCGCCGCCACTTCCAGCTGCCCCCTCCCCCTACTGCGTGGGGCTCGGCACCCGAGCCGCCCACCTACAGCCAATTGAGCTTGCCCTGGACACACACTTGGCATTACGGTTCTCGCTATCGCAGGTAGCATTGGGCAAATTCGTGCCTCTGTAGATCGCGGACGATAAGAATGGTTGTGCGTCTGGACCCTTCTGGTACCGTTGCTTCCCGCATCATCGCGGACGGGATCCGCCTTCGCAGCACGGCACTCCCTGAGTAAACCCGGCTGACAGGCCACAAGTAGCTACACGTCTCTGGCTGGCCTCGACGCTTCTCTCCCCCGCCTCCCACCTTCACGCTGCCCAAAATCTTGAATCACTCTGGCTCCTTTTCCGCTCTGCGTGCCCACAATGAGCTTTTCCCGGCTCCCGCTTTCGACTCCGCGCTGAACGCTTGCCGTTGATCAGAGCCAGGCGCCAGTCCTTCATCGCATCGGCCCACTCTGGGGGAAACACGTGTGCGTGTGTGTGTGTGTGTGGACATGTAGGCGTGTGTGTGTGTGTGTTTGTTTGAGTGTGTTTGTTTGCGTGTGTAAAGGCTTTGCTCAAATCAATATTGCCTCACGTTCCCACACACCGTGGTCAATTTCCTGCAAGCGCATCCTATCTTAACATAACCCGGTGGCTGCAACCAATTGCCGCGTCGGAGGAACAATGTGTGCTTGTGTCCTCGACGGTGGGGACTTTCCTCCTCCTCCTCCTCCTCCTCCTCCTCCTCCTCCTCCTCCTCCTCCCCCTCTCCAGATTATACCAGGCGCCCACACCCTCAATCCTCTGTCCTCCCTTCTTCCTCATCCTGCCTCCTCCTCCCTCCCTTCCTCCCTTCCTCCTCCTCCTCCTCCTCCTCCTCCTCCGCGAGGAGAGGAGGACTGAGGAGAGTCATTGCCGTGCGCTTCGCAGGCTCCAGGGTATGCCCAGTCTAGAGGCCCTGGCTGGCAGACCCCCGATGCCCTCCCTGGGAGTGGCCGCTGTTGCAGACAGCCAGCCACCCCGAGGGGGGAGCCGCTCTGTTTCGGCGGAGACGTCTGCCAGCTCCCGACCACAGTGAAGGGGCACCAGGACACACAAATAAGTACACGCAAATAAAAGGACTCCCCACATTTTCTGGGGAATCGACGATTCATTGTGTCTGTGTGTTTCTCTCCCTCCTGACACAGAGCGCCCACGGCAAAAGGGACCCGCGGCGGCGCCGCTGGCGGAGCGCAGGAGGGGGAGGACGGTGCGCTGAGGAGCACGCGCGTGGGAGGGGAGAGGGATGGGGGAGCAGGATGGAGGAACACGGAGGAAGGAGGAAGAGATCCTCCTCATCCTCCTCACTATCTCGTTGTCCCCCCTCTCCTCGGTTCCCCTCCCCTCCTTCCTGTCCCTCGTATCTCGTCTCCCCCCTCTTCTCGGCTCTCCTCCCCCATCTCCTCGGCTGTCCTCCCCCCGAATTCGTTGTTGATTCTTTCTGGTAGCTGTCCAGCCATGCGACGCCCTGATTTTTTTCCAGGCTGGCGTCCCTGGAAGTCCCGACCCCTTCCCCGGGACCGGTTTTTCGTCCCGAGCCGTTTTCTGCTGGTCTGGAGGCCTGGCGAGGGCCCCCCGCGACCGCAAATAGCCAAGAACCTCCCGTTCCGATTTTTCTGCGACGCGATCCTGTCCGGGTAACGGTCGGCAGCCCGGTGCGGAGGGTGGGGCCTGGGGGTGACGGCGGCGCCTGGGCAAGGGCGGGGCGCGTCGGGGCGGGGGGGTGCGCCGCGCTCGCCGGGAGTGTGCGCGCGAGCGCCAGCATTGGGGTTAAAGGGAGGCCCAGGCCCCTCCCACCCCAGTCCGATCGTTGCTTTTCCCCGGGGCAGACGAGCGCGTTCCACTACTCGCAAAGTCACTACTCGCAACTGGCCTGGATCCCTCGCGGGGGATCTGCGATACATTGCATGAAAACAGGTCTGTGTTTTTCGGACGCTTGCGAGTAGGCACTTCGCGAGCAGTGGAACGCGCTCGGCGACAGGGGGGGGACCTGGCTGGGGCAACTCCCCCTTTGCGCGCCAGGGGATGAACAGAACGAGAAAAAACGCCGTACACGTTAACTTGTCGCGCTCCGCGCGGATTTTTTGAATCTGCGCTGGAGGCGCGCGGAGCGCGCCAGGGGGCGGCGCCGGAGCCGCCGCCAAGGGGGCCCAGCGCGGATCCAAGAAATCCGCGCGGAGCGACAAAAGTGTATGTTTATGGAGTTTCTTCTTCTTCGAATGAAAGCCAATCTCCCTCCTCATCTCTACCTCCCTCCTGCGCCCAAGGGAGGGCGCACGAAACGCTGCGAGCTGGGACCCTACAGCCGGCCAGGCCCTGGCCCCCAGGCCCCGGGCCGTCCCGGTGCCCGTCTGGAAGGTGCCGGTGCCGCCGCTGTGCATGTGCAGGTTCTGTTGGAGGGGGGAGGAGGAGGAGGAGGAGGAGGAGGAGGAGGAGGAGGAGGAGGAGGAGGAGGAGGAGGAGGAGGAGGAGGAGAGGAGGAGGAGGAGGAGGAGGAGGAGGAGGAGGAGGGGAGGAGGAGGAGGAGGAGGAGGGAGGAGGAGGAGGAGGAGGAGGAGGAGGAGGAGAGGGAGGAGGAGGAGGAGGACGACGACGACGACGAGGACGAGGGGGCAGGGCGAACGAGAGGGAAGAGGAGGGTGGGGAGGCGGGGAAAGGGGAAAGGTGCAGAAGCGGGGGGAGGAGGCCGGAGGAGGGCGGACGGAAAGGGGGAGGGGGCAACCCAGGGTGCGCTCGCGCCAGGTACCCGACGCATCCTCCGGCGACGGCTGCCGCGGCGAACCTGGAAAGCCCCGAACAGAAACCAACAGGCTGCGCGCAATCGCCGGTTCTTCACGGAGACGGGACCCGTCGCCAGCCCAGGGGGGATCCCAAGGGGGGGCTCGTCGTGGTCGTCGTCGTCGTCGTCGTCGTCGTCGTTCGAAAATGGGAGGGAATAGAAGGGAGGAGGGCTGATGGAGAGGGAAAGGGGGGAGAGGAAAAAGAGGCGAGGACAGTGGGAAAGGGGGAGGAGCGTGAGGAGGGAGGCGCGAGGTTTTCCAGGACGCATGTAACGGAACACCAACCAGCTGAGTTGTGGAAACCACGCAGCGACTTGAGAACGAACACTCCCACTCACATTGCCAGGATCATTATAACACCTCGCCCGACCCAAATTGGTCGCACGGCGACGGACAAAAAGGGTTTGACATGTTGACTGGCCGCGCTGCAACGCGATGCGTACTATACATCGCAAGCGGGCCGTCGCTGGCAAACAAGTAGCACATGGCCTGAAAACTGCAAACGCGAACCAACGCTCACCTGATGAGCTTGTGGGATACACTGGGTGAATAGAGGCCTCCTAGATGGGATCCGAGTTGATGGGGTCGGGGGATCGCGCCACATCGCCGATGCATGGGCGATGCGCCGCGCTGGCGACTTTGGTGATGCATCGGCGCCGCTTGCGCGGAAAAAATGAGGCTCCACATCGAGCGAATCGCCGATTCATTGGCGATGTGGTGGAATCCTCCGACCTCATCTACTCCGATCCCATATGGGAGGCCTAGAGCTAGTCAGCCCCAGCGCAGCCTGATTGGCAAGGGGGGGGCCACCAGTCGATGCATCCTCCCCGGAGCCTGTCCCCCCCTTACGTTGCCTTCTGTTTTCCTGACATACCTCGGCTCTCCAGCATCCGTTCGGGACGACCTGGGCCCCCCCGACGCTGCGGGGGGTGCTCAGCGCATTATGGCCGAGCGCTGCATGGGCGCCCCAAAGAACAGGGACAAGGCCAGAACATATGCAGGCAGCTTGAATGGGCACAGAGACAAGTGCATAGTCAATGGGACTGGTGCCGACTCCCGCACCAAATGACAGAGACCCCTGGCATCGGGGCGGGGATGAGGCCGAGAGGCTCCAGCCACCCAGAGTCTTCAAGGACCTCATGAGCCATTGCCAGTCTCCCACTACAAAAGGCGGGCGCTCCTGCAGCAGACAGATGGGCGCCAAACTCGGCCAAGAACCTCAGGTTGTCGCCGCTCTGCTGCCCCCCTTGCGCAGGTAGACAGGCGCGATGGCCAATGAGACGCGTCGGAGGCGAAGAGCGCAGACCAGCTATCTCGATGTGCCGACGTCAGACCACTGTCCAGCAGCAAAGGTACGACTGGCAAGGCCTCAGTGAGACCTCGCGATAACCATCGCACCTGAGGACGCGTTGTCGGCCTCAGCGCGGTGGGCTACACGCGCCGACACTCTCCAACCAAACCCATGCAGCTTCTGGACCAGGACGTGAAACTTGATGGACCGCGCCGATGCTCCACGAGGAGGAGGTCAGCAGTGGCGTGCCGTGCCCAGCGAAGTGCCGTAGGTCCTCCTCCTCCTCCTCCTCCTTCTCCTCCTCCCTCCCCCTCCCCAGCACGAGATGTTGGCGTAGACACATGAGAGTTCCTTGGGCGCCACAGGCTTGTCGGGACGCCTCGTGGGCGGCCGAGGCGGCCGCTTGGGTCGAGACACAGTGGCGTCGGGAACGCCCCGCTTCCTCCTTCGCCTTGGCCGCCTTCTCTTGGGCCTCAGCGAGGAGTTATTGCTCGGCGGCCTCCGCGCGAGCCTTCTTGTCGGCAGCCGCCTGCGTCGTGGCCTCGGCGGCGCCCGTGGGTTGCCCCCCGGGCGCTGGGGCTGCCGCGCCCGCGGCCGCAAGAGCAGCCCTCGGCGCGGGGGCGGGGGCGCCGCCGGCTGCGCTGGCGGGGGCGGCGGCCGCCGAACCCGCGGGCTCCGACTGCTCGGCAGGAGCAGGAGCTTGCGGGGGCTCGTCGGCAGGAGCTCCGGCCTCGAGCTTACGCAGCTTGCGGAGCTCGCCCATTCGTTTGAGATGTTATTGCTGATGTGTGTTCGCTTGTTCCTTGACTGAGGTGAATGCTTCATGAAGTAGCCTGGCAACTTTGGCAGATTGGTCTTCCTGGAATGCTTCGAAACTCTGCCTGTCGGCGTCCGAGAAGGCAGGGCCAGATAAGTCGATCTGTTCGCCGAAATCCAGAATAAGTTCCTCAGCTCAGTTCTTGAAGAGGTTCGAAAGGTTGATGGTGGAGGCCTTGGGCTCTCCCTTGAGATCGCCTGCCGCCAACACTCGAGTAGCCTGCCCAAGGGCTTTCTCAACGGCAATGTCGGCGTCCATGAGTTTGTCAAGATTCGCTTTCGATTTGCCTCGCGCATCTGTGAAGGTTGATACCAAGCGGCTTGAGCCGACTCAAGGGCCCTTGGCCGAAACCCCCGTGTCTGTGAAAGGGGCGAGGGGCTCTTGGGCCTAACCTTTAGCAAGGGTGCCAGCGATCTCCTTGACCATGGAGAGGGTGTCTGGCGGGGGAGTGACAGCAGCCTACGCAGCTCCCAGCCTGCCTCGAGGCCGTTTCGGAGCTTGGCACCGCTGCCTCCTCCATCTTGTCCACCTGAGCTCTGGCCGCCGCCTTGTGTACTCGGCGATTCTTGATTGGGGTCGCACATGTCCTTGCAGCCGATACTGAACCACTTGCGCTTGGCCAGGAGGTCGTTGAGGGTCCAGTGGCCGCAGGCGCAGACACTGTACTCACGTGGGCCATTGCGAGCACGACGAAGCTTGCCACCGCCTTGCCCAACTAGAATCCACGGGTTGTAGGTCCAGCCGCCCGTCTGCTGCCAACTGCCACTGCGGTCTTGCAGGGTCATAGGCCCGCTGATCGGATGTCGTGAAGGACTCTGCTCGCCCGCGGGCCGCGGGAGGCAGGCGGTCGGTGGGGCGGACCACCGAGCGCAAATGAAAACCGTCGGGCGCAAACACCTGGCACTGCCGCGGACTAGCGGTATCCGTGATTGTTTATGCGGGCTCAGCCCGCCAAAGCCAAACATTTGAGCCAAAATGGCTACGGAGGGCGATGAGGAGGATAAGGAGGAGGAGGAGGAGGAGGAGGAGGAGGAGGAGGAGGACGAGGAGGAGGAGGAGAAGGGGAGGAGGAGGAGGAGGAGGAGAAGGACAGAGGAGAAGGAGGAGGTGGTGGTGGGTGGTGGTCACTGTCACTACATAAGGGAAACAAGTTCCGAGCAGAGCAACGCGCATCACCAGCACGCCGACGCCGACGACAACGACGACGACGAGGCGTGCAGACGATGCGCACCGAAGCACGGATGTGGGAAAAGGGCGCACCCTGCAAGTTCGGTTAAACAGCGAGCGGTGCTGCAGCCTCCCTGGAGCCCAGAGCATCAGCCACACAAGTCGGGTTTGCACCCTCGTGCCTTGCTGGGCTCTGGGCGCGTTTCGGCACCCTCTCCCCCAACCATGTCAGGGCCACCGACAAGGGAGAGGGCGGCGGTGGCCGACGCGTCCCTGAGTTATGAAGCTCAAAGCGCCGCGGCTAAGAGAGCCGGGCAGACAGACAGACGGACGAATGGACGGACGGACAGCCAGGCGGCGTGCAACGCCTGGCAATCCAAGTGGGCGGTCACTCCATAAGGGAAACAAGTCCCAAGCAGAGCAACACGCACCACGACCACGACGACGCCGACGACGGATACAAGGCGCGCAAACGAGGAGGATGAGGATGAGGATGAGGAAGACGAGGAGGAAAATGACAGGGGAGGAGGAGGAGGAAACGAACACAGGAGGAGGAAGAGGAGGAACAGCAGGAGGAGGAGGGGGATGAGAAGGAGGAGGAGGACAGAAAAGGAGGAGGAGGGGGGAAGGAGGAGGGAGGAGGGAACGCCATCACTTCCAAGCGAGCGGGGGCGATGATCGACACCCCGGGGAGCATCGGCGACCGATGTGGGACAATCAATGCGACCCCAACCGAAGAGACCACGACGTCGAAGGTCTCGGAGAAGGCTTGGCGGGGGATGGGGGTGCAAGAAGCGTCTGCTCAAGAGGACAAGGGGGAGGAGGAGGGGGAGGAGGAGGAGGAGGAGAAGGAGGATGATGAGGAGGAGGAGGAGGAAGAGGAGGAGGAGGAGGAGGAGGGGGAGGAGGAGGGGGGAGGAGGAGGAGGAGGAGGAAGAGGAACGGAGCGGAGCGGAAGAGTCGCGAAACGACGGGAAAAGACAAACCCATTCCCTGCCGGTTCATACGAAGAAGAACACTGCGTAAGTGAACAACATGAGCTCTGTAACCCTCCCGGCACTGCGAAGAAGACCGAGGAACGAAACTGATACCTTGAATGCGTCAATCCCCATTGTAGTCGACACCCGCGAAGAAAGTTTCACGTCGCATCGGCAGCAACATGCGTTCACTCATCCAGCGCACCACCAGAAAAAAAAGGCGCGAAAACATATTGAATACCAGCTGAATTCCAACTGCAACCGCCAGACAAGCTGCACCACAAAGCAGAACCAGTAAACATACAGCGCCATCCACCAGAATCCCAAAAAGGATGCCTCTCGCACGCAAGAAAAACGAGATGCACAAAGTACCCCTTGTTAGGGAAAAAGCATTTGCCCAACCACAACCAGCCATTGAAGTACACCCAGGCGGGAGGCGTTGGGTCAGTGCACGTAGGCCCCCGCTGTCCGTCCTGACTGGGATGGGTAACGAAGAGACCGAACAGGAACGTAATATCCAGAAGTATGGGCACAGCATGCCGAAGGACAACACTGCGCAGCAGCTCCAGGGGAAAAACAAGCAGTGGGTACTCCGGCTCGCCCCTGCAGTCACACATAGCTTGAAGATCAAGGGCGCGACCTGGTACACCCAGGCGGGAGGCGGTGGGTCAGCGCGCAAAGGCTCCCACTGTCCTTGCCGCCTGTGATGGATGCCGAAGAAGAGGTTCAGGACAAACAAACATAATAATACACGCCACGAAACATAAGAAAATGCGGTGCGGCGGCTTCCAGAAAGAACCAAACCAAACATCGATCGAAACTTGCTCCGTTTAGCCATTGGGATAGCTGTCCCAAACCGTCGAGACTAACCCAAGTTCAGCTGAGGTGAAATTGGCTCGATGCGGCCCTTATTCAAGGATAAGCAAACACCACTGGTCATTGGGCACCCCCCAAGAGGGATCGCCTCCTCCACAGACAGCCCCACAATATCAATACAAAGACGAAAGGATGCTACCCACTTCCTCTCGTGCTGACGTGGAGGCACGGAGCTAGGAGTCCGATGGCAAGTGTGGGCCCAAATGGTTACGACACGCGCCTCAGGGCCCCTGTGCTTGAGGGAGGAGGAAAAGGAGGAGAAGGAGGAGGAGGAGGACAGAGGAGGAGGAGGAGGAGGAGGAGGAGGAGGAGGAGGAGGAGGAGGAGGAGGAGGACAGAGGAGGAGGAGGAAGAGGAGGGAGAAGAGAAAGGGGGGCAGCTGACCTTGTCCTGGGCCACCGCAACGTCGCCTTGGAACTGCGAAAGGCCCGTGGCAGTGGTGAGCGTCTTCGTCGTGCCGTCGGCGTCGTCGTTGAACGCGACATCGCCATACACCTTCGCTAATAAAGGGGCCCAGGAACACACACACGCATAAATACACATAAATCCAAGGAATCGCACAATTTTTCAAGATGGTACCAGAGAAAACAAAATCATATTATTTAGGGCTATAGGGCCATAAGCATCTGGGGCTTTAGGTCTAAAGGGCGATGGGTCTATTAGGCTACTGGGCTGTAGAGCTATAGGGTTATACGGCTATGGGGCTGTAGGGCTATAAGGCTGTGGGGCTGTAGGGCTATATTGGGTACAGGGCGATAAGGGCTATAGGACTATAGGGCTACAGGGCTATGAGGCTACAAAGCTAGAAGACTATAGGGCTATAGGGCTACCGGGCTACCGCGCACCTGGGCCCCCGGGCACCTGGGCACCCGGGCACCGGGGCAGGCCAACGAAATTGGCGGCACACCTCACCTAACCATATGAATCCTCCAAAACGCCTACAGAGGCCGGCTCTGATTGGGAATTTTCTGGGTTTTCGTCATCCCCCCCGCTTCCCATACTTTCCCATACTTTCCAGGTAATCGATCATTAATTGTGTCTGTGTGCTTCTTCCCCTCCTGAGCTAGAAGAAGAAAAACCACATAAACAGAAACTTTTGGCACTCCGCGCGGATTTCTTGGATTCGCGCTGGACCCGGGGCGGCGCCGGAGGCGCCTCCGGGGGGGCCAGTCGCGGAATCCAAGAAATCCGCGCGCCTCCGGCGCCGCCCCGGGTCCAGCGCGAATCCAAGAAATCCGCGCGGAGTGCCAAAAGTTTATGTTCATGTGGGTTTTTTCTTCTCTGATTCGCGGCGAGCGCAAGGATGTGGGGCGAGAAGGGTGGCCTTCTGAGAGGCCAGGGCTTCTTGGAAGTCCGCCTGCCTCCCAACAAGAAAGCGTCTGACCAGCCTGCGATCCCTTCTGAGCGCCCATTGGCTTCTCAGGAGGCCACCGCCCTCGCCCCACCCTCGTTCGCGCGCCGCCCAGCACCGTCAGAGAGGACGAGGTTCCAGAAGAACTCCCTCCGACGTAGGTGTCGCCAAACAGCTGGATGACGCCCGCGTTGCCGGCGCTGCCGACGGTGAAGGACCTGTGGCGCGAGGGCCAACGGAGACACGACTCCCCAGACCTCCAGATCACCGACATGATGCTGTTGTTAGGCGGCGGGCGAGGGGGAGAAATGAGAAGGAGAAGGCCTTCTCAGAAGGCTGCGGGACTTCCCAGAAGCCCTCGCGCCTTCTGAGAAGTTTTTGTCTGTCTTCGGGGAAGGCTCAGGAAACTTCTCAGAAGGCCGCGGAACTTCCGAGACTTCTGAGAAGGCCCGCCCCTTCTCAATTCCCCCCCTCGCTCGCCGCCGAGTTGTGGATCTTCGACCACGCTCTGGGGCGCTCAAGAAACGATCCGGGGCGAGAAGCCGGTCCGCAGGAAGGAATCGCCGTGGGGCCCGCGCGTCGGACAGCTCAGGACCCCGGACGTCTGGGTCCTGGATTTACGGTCAGGTCGATCATGTCCCCCTGCAGGCAGATTTTGGAGGAAAAACCAAAAAGAGAGTCATAAAACATGCTCAAGAGCAGCCCAACATGGTCAAAACATCGTCCCCAGATGATCTCTCATCGTGGAGGAACAATGAAAGATAGTTCAAGGATGCTCAAAGAGTAGTCCGCAAATGGTCAGCACATCGTCCCCAGGCTATTTTTCCTGACTATCTTGGAATGCCCCCCCCCTGCATAGGGGCAGGCCCGACTTCAGCCTGGGCCCCGGCTCTGCGGGGGCCGCCCCCCCAGGGGGGGCCGGCGCTCGCAGGGCCTCGGGGGGCGCCCGGGAGAGGCGGGCCCCCCCGGGAGAGGCGGCCGGCGCCCGCGAGGGGCTCGGGGGGGGCCCCGCGCCCTCCGGGGGGCGGCCGCGAGGGGGGCGCCCAGGAGAGGGGGGGGGGGGGGCGCAGAGCACGGCCGTCGGCGCGTGCGCGGCCCGAAGTGGGTGCAGTCGGGGCGTGGACCTGAGGAACCCTAGATAAGGAGCGAGGCCCCTTTTTTCCATAAGGTCAACTTCGATTGCAGTGCAGTCGGGGCGTGGACCGAAGTGGGTGCAGTCGGGGCGTGGACCTAAGGAAGCCTAAATAAGGAACGAGGCCCTTTTTTTCCATAAGGTCAACTTCGATTGCCTGTCAAAAAACAGAAGGAGAGCCTGAGGCAAGCTGTGAACCACTTAAGGAACGCGGAGCCCCTCCCCAACGAAGAGGGTTCCTTCTTCAGGGCCCCGACTGTACGGAGACAATGGGCACAATGCCCAACAACGAATGTTGTCCCAAACCATCAGCGGCCGCTGTGGGGCGGGCGGCCTGCTGTCTCAAACGGACACAGGCCGCGGCGGCGCGGACAGCGAGTCCTGTTCGAGATGAACAGGAACTGCTGTTGGGCAGCGTACCCATTCTTTCCGTACCCATTTCGTTCGTGCCGAAAGGGGGGGGCCAGGGACGCGTGGAAACAAGAAGCGGCGCCGCAAAATCCGGGGAGACGTCGTGGCCCCCGCCGTGCTGTCCACCCCCCCGTCATCACCCCCCTCTCGGCATGAGATCCCCCTCCCCAGTCGTGACCCCCCTCTTGGCCGCCCCCGTTCCCTCAGGATCCCCTTGCTCTTCCCGGTGACTTGCCGTCCGAGATCTCCACGTTCCCCACCAGTCTGACGGTGCCGCTACCCGTGGTGAACTGGTTGGTGGAGTCGATCAGCACGTCGCCCATGAACAATGCCTGCCCGTTCGCGGTCGTGAACGTTCCAGCCCCAGCGGTCATCAGGAAGTTCTTCGCCGCGGCGAGCGTGAAGTCGCCGTTCACGGTGACCCCTCCAGTTCCAGTGGCGAGGGTGGCGACCGTGCCTGAAAGGCCGGAAAAAAAACATCAACTCTTGGAGGAGCCGCGGACGGCCTCCATCCGGTGTTGGGTCCTCCGTGCATCTGCCTTCCGCCCCGCCGCATGGCTACTTCGGCGCACTCCTCACACGCATCGTGGCTCCACAAGGAGCTCCACCGAAGGCCCCAGCGGCAAGGTTCGCATGCGCCCCTCCCTGCCCATTTCGGCACACCCCTCACACGTTCCGTGGGCCCACAAGGAGCTCCACCCGAGGCCTCAACTGCAGGGTTCACATGCGTCCCCCAGCCGACTGCCGGTCGGCACACCCCTCACACGCTTCGTGCCCCAACTGGGAGCTAAGACCCCAGTGGCACGGTCCGCGCGCGCGCCCCCCCGCCCATCTCGGTGCACCAATTGCACGTTCCGTGGCCCCACAGGGGGCTCCACAGGAAGCTCCAGTGGCAGTGTCCACATTGAACCCCCCCCGCCCATTTCGGCACACCCATCACACGTTTCGTTACCCCACAAAGTACTTCACCGAAGGCCTCAATGGCAGTGTCCATCTGCGCACCCCCCCAGCCTATTTCTCAACCCCTCACACGCTTCGTGCCCCCCCAAGAGGATGTCCACTGAAGGCCCCAATAACAAGGTTCGCATGCGTCCCCACGCCCCTGTCGGCACACCCGTCAGCCGTTTGGTGGCCCCACTGGGAGCTCCACCGAAGGCCCCAGCGACAGGGTCCGCGTGCATCTCCCTGCCAACTTCGCTACACCTCTCACGCGCTTCGTGGCCCCAGAAGGGGGCACCACCGAGGGTCCCAATGGCAATGTCCACCTGCGCCCCCCCGCCCATTTCGGCGCACCCCTCAGACGTTTCGTGGCCCCACGTGGAGCCGAGGCCCCAGTGGCACGGTCCGCGTGCGCGCCCTCCCACCCATCTCGGAGCACCCCTCACACGTGTCGTGACCCCCCCAGGGGGCCTCCACCGAAGGACCCTCTGGCAAGGTTCGCGTGCGTCCCCCTCCGTCCATGTCGGCAAACCCCTCGCACGTTCCGTGGCACAGCCAGCTCCACTCAAAACCCTGTTGGCAATGTCCACATGCGCCCCCACCGCCCACCTCGACACACCCCTCACACGCGTCGTGGCCCCGAGAGGAGCGCCACTGAAGGCCCCAGTGGCAGGGTCCACATGCGCCCCCTCGCCGAGTTCAGCACTCCCATCACACGCTCCGCGGCCAGACAGGCAGCCCCACCGAAGGCCCCCAGTGGCAGCGTCCTTGCTTCGTGGCCGCACAAGCAGCTTCACTGACAGCACCAGCGGCAGCGTCGACATGCCCCGACACCACCGAAAGCCTCAAGAGCAAGGTTCACGCTGGGCCCGCCCCTCGCCCCTTCCGGAACACTCTTTACACGCTTCGTGGCCCCACGTGGAGCTCCACCGAGGGCCCCCGTGGCGGTGCCCACACGCGCCCCCCCCGCCCCTGTCGGCACACCCCTCAACCGTTTGGTGGCCCCACGGGGAGCTCCACCGAATGCCCCACTGGCCGAGTTCGCATGCATCCCCCCCCCCTGCCCACGTCGACTCACCCCTCACGCGCTTCGTGGCCCCACAGGGAGCACCACGGAAGGTCCCCATGGCAATGTCCAAGTGCGCCCCCCACGCCCATTTCAGCACACCCTTTGCATGTTGCGTGGCCCAAAACAGGAACTCCAAGGAAAGCCCTCGTGGCGGTGTCCGCACGCGTCCCCCCGCCGATTTCGGCACACTGCTTACACGTTTCGTGGCCCCAAAGGGAGCTTCACCGAATTTCGGCACACCCCTCACACGCTTCGTGGCCTTCCAGGGAGCTTCACCAGAGGCCGCAGTGGCAGTGTCCGCATGCGTTCCCTCCTCTGATTTTGGCACACCCCTCGCAGGCCTCGTGGCCCCACAGTGAGGGAGCTCCACCGAAGGCCCTGGTGGCAATGTCCTCATGGCCCCTCCTTGCCCGTGTCGGCACACCCCTCACACGTTCCGTGACCTCACAGGGAGCTCCACCGAGTGCCCCAGCGTCGAGGTCCACCCGCGCCCCCCCCGGCCCATTTCGGCACACCCCTCGCCCTCTCCGTGGCCCCATATATGGAACCCGACCGAAGGCCCCCCTCGCGCGCTCCGTGGCCGGCCCCACAAGCAACTCCACCGAAGGCCTCCGTGGCAGTGTCCACGAGCTCCTCCCCCCGCCCGCTTCGGCACACCCCTCACGCGCTTCGCGGCCCCCAGCGGGAGCTTCACTGAAAGCGCCGGGGGCGCAGCCCGCATGCGTCCCCCCGCCGGTTTCGGCACACGCCTCACACACGTCGTGGCCCGATAGTGAGCTCCACTGAAGGCCCCAGTGGCAGTGTCCACATGCGTCCCCCCTGCCCATGTCGGCACACCACTCACACGTTTCGTGGCCCCATAAGGAGATATATCGAAGGACCCAGTGGCAGGGCTTGCGTACCCTCATTCGCCCTCCTCCTCCTCCTCCTCCTCCTCTTCCTCCTCCATCTATATCTCCTCCTTCTCCGCGCCCCAGTCCTTCTGCTGGGTCCCCCTCCTGCTTCTCACCAGCCTCGCGATATTCGCAGCAGCATGTGGTTGGGCCCTCCGTCAAGAGAGCTTTCGTTTTCCCTGGCCCTGTCTTCGTTTGCACAACGAAGTCGAAACGAAAACGGCTCATACGATTGCCAGAGCACCGTGTTTTGGAGGTCGGAAAGGGGTGTGGCATAAAGAGGTGTGGTGCCAGTCGTGGAGAAATCGATGTCATCGAGGATGGATAGCATCGCAAAACTCAGCAGTGGCACCACACCCCTTTACACCACACCCCTCTCCTACCTCCAAACGTTTAGGTCCTGCCTCCTCCGCGCACTCCCGGCGCCAGGGGCGCGGCCCAGGGTCGACGGGCACGGGCCCTGCCGCCAGCGGCGACGAAACCGACGACGAGGCTCCAAAGCTGCTGTTCGTACGGTTTTCGGGCTCCCTGTCCCCTCCCCCCCACCCCGCCCTCCCTCCTCGATCCTCCTGCGAGCTGCGAGCTGATGGCGTGTGGGTCATGTCTCCCGCCCCCAGGGGCTATGGCCCCTGAGAAGGGGTGACACATCTAGTGGCGTACGCTCTGGATCCTCCACCTCCTCCTCCGCCTCCTCCTCCGCCTCCTCCTCCTCGATGCTGCCTGACGAGTCGTCGTTCTGCGTGATCGAGCCGTAGATGGTCGTGGCAACCGAGGCGCCGCTGGCGCTGCCGCCGATGTTGACGGCCCCGTAGAACGTGGCGGCTCCGCCTGCGGACGACAGACCACGACGGCGGACGACGGACAAGGACGGACGAAGCCGGCGAGGAACGTCGACGACGACGACGAACGAGGACGAGGGGGATGAAGAGGAGGAGGAGGAGGAGGAGGACGAGGAGGAGGAGGAGGCGGAGGAGGAGGAGGAGGAGGAAGAGGAGGAGGAGGAGAAGCAGCATCAGGATGATGATGATGATGATGATGATGATGATGATGATGATGATGATGATGATGATGATGATGATGATGATGATGATGATGATGATGATGACGATGATGATGACGAGGAGGAGGAGGAGGAGGAGGAGGAGGAGGAGGACGGCTCCTGCACCTCTCCTTGGCTGCGTTCTTGCCCGAAGTATGCGACATCGTCTTTTCCATCCATTGGGGGCACCTCGCTTCAGGAGGGAGCGGGGGGCCGCGGTGGGGGAGGGGGGTAACAATAGCCGCGGCCAACGTGCACCCCACAAGGCGCGCTCGCAGCATTGGCGCAACGATCGCCTGTGTACACCATAGCCCCCCTGTGTGCACGACAACGCCTGCGTGCACCACCACGCCTGTGTACACCCTAGCAGCCGCGGGCACCATAATTAGCAGCACATCGTCTGTGTACTGTACACTTTAGCGCCTCAATATGTAATCCGCAGCAGCCGCCTGCGCAGCAGCTCATGTGTACACTGGTGACTGCGAGGACCATATCGTCTGTGTACGACAAGACGCCTGTCAAGACCACAGCCTCTTGCACTGGCGCAGCGACCGCCAGTCCCTGTGTACACGACGACGCGTGCGTGCATCACAGCGTACATGTACACCACAATCCCGATGAGGCCCAAACTCGAAATCATCCTGGCAAAGGACCCAACCATGTGCAGTTGTGAGTACCGCGTTTGTGAGTATCGTCTTCGGTGAAGCTCCCTACAGGGCCACGAAACGTGTGAGGGGTGTGTCAAAATAAGTGCGGCGGTGTCACGCGGGCGCTGCCACTGGGGCCTTCGGTGGCGCGCCCTATGCAGCCACGAAACGTGTGGTTGGTGTGCTGGAATATGTGCGGCGGTGCCATGCGGGCGATGTCACTGGGACCGTCGGTGGAGTTCCCTATGGGGCCACGGAGCGTGTGAGGGGTGTGCTGGAACAGGCGCGGCAGTGCCATGCGGGCGCTGCAACTGAGGCCTTCGGTGCAACACCATATGAAGCCGCAAAACGTGCGATGGGGTGCCGAGATGGGTGCGGCGGTGTCATGAGGGCGCTAACACTGCGGCCTTCGGCGGAGCTCCCTATGGGGCCAAGAAACGCGCGAGGGATATGAAGACGCTGCCACCAATGCCTTCGGTGGAGTTCCTCATGGGGCCACCAAACGTGTGAGGGGTGTGCCGAAATGGGTGCGGCGGTGCCATGAGGGCGCTAACACTGCGGCCTTCGGTGGAGCTCCCTCCGGGGCCACGAAGCGTGCGGGGGACGTGCCGAAATGGGCTGGAGGTGCCATGCGGGCGCTGCCTTTGGGGCCTTCGGTGCAGCGCCCGAGGGGCCCACGAGACGTGTGAGGGGTGTGCGTGCCGACATATCTGGCATGCGGAGGGCAGAGGCAGGGGTGGGAGAAGGGAGGAGGGAGCAGGGTGAGGAGGAGAGGAGACGTGGGGCGCCTGTCTCTTCACAGCGATGACCCAGCAGCGCAGGATGGTTGGGAGAAAATTGCCTGGCGAAGGACCCAACCCTGTCTAAACGAATGGCACATATTACCAAGACGGCTCAATACACAAGAGCACGATGAAGGGTATGCAATATCCCAGCAGCTTCGCCAAAGCCAGTCAGACCGAGGACGGAGTCCCCAATTCGCGCATGCCCTCTCAACCATCGATTCGCAATGGCGGTAATTACGATGAACGCGACGCGGACATTGGTGGAGCTGCCTGGGGGGGGGGGGGCAAGTCACGCGTGAGGGGTGTGCCGAAGTGGGCGCGGGAACGCCATGCGAGAGCTCCCTGGGGGGCAAGAAACGTGTGAGAGGTGTGCCGACATGGGCGCGGGGACGCCTTGAGAACGCACTCATTGGGGCCATAGTAGGAGCTCCCTGGGGGGGCAGGAAACGTGCGGGGTGTGCCGAAATGGGCGCAGAGACGCCCCATGCGAGATGCAAGGTGGAGCTGCCCGGGGAGGGGCGATGACCGTGTGAGGGGTGTCCCGAGAGGAGCGCGGGGACGCCATGCGAACGCACCCGCTGGGGCCGCAGGTGGAGCTCCCTGGGGGGGCAAGAAGCGCGTGAGGGGTGTGCCGACGTGGGCGCGGGGACGCCGTGCGAGCACACCCGCTGGGGCCACAGGTGCAGCACCCCGAAAAAGGCAGGAAAGCGCGCGGGGGTGCGCCGAAAGAGGCGCGGGGGGGCGCCGTGCGAACGCACCCACGGGGGCCACAGGCTGCGCGTCCGGGGGGTCGGGAGACGTGTGAGGCTTGTGCCGGCACGGGCGCGGCACTGGGGCCACAGGTGGAGCTCCCTGGGCGGGCAGGGAGCGTGCGAGGGGCGCGCCGAAATGGGAAGAGGGAACGCGATAATGGTGAGGAGGCGAGGGAATAGGGGGAGGGGAGGAGAGGGAGGAGGAAGACGCGCGGCGCTGCGGATTCCAACCGAGGCCCCACCACACGGGAGGGCTGGGGGAAAATGGTAGGCCCGAAGGTATCACATTCAACGTGCAACTCATGTCTGAGTCTTGGTTCTTCTGGCCCGGGATGCGGTCCACCCCGTGTTTTGGGGCCCGCCGTGCCTGCGTGGGACATAGCGCCTGTACAGCATGATGGTTCCACAGTCCTAACAGCCGTTGGCACCACAGCGCCTGGCGACTGCGGCCGCGGCAGTGCTCGGGAACAGCACAGAGCCTGAATACGTCCCAAGGTCCAAGCGAGACCCGAACTCCAGAAAATCGTAGTAAGACAAATCTACCACACTCACTGTGTGACTCATTCATGGTTCTTGCTGTTTCTGGCAGGGGGCACGGTCCCGCCTTCATGTTGGGCCAGCAGTGCCTTCGTGCACCACAACGCTTGCGTACAACACGATGCTTGCACCACCATTGCAGGCGTGTGCATTGGAACCCATCGCGCCTGCGTGCACTACAATTCTTGCGGACACCCCAAAGCCGTGAACACGTCTGTGTACACCTCCAAGGCCGCGACGGGGAGCACCAACTCCGGAACATCGTAGCGGGCCCACGAACGTATCAAATTCAATATGCAAGTTTTGGTTATTATTGATTGGTCTAGCCTGGGATACAATCCACCAAAGTACTTTCGTTCACCACAGCGCCAATGTACAACCCGAATCTTTCGCGCAACCCCAGCAGCCGTGTGCACCTCTTCCTCTTCCTCCTTCTCAGCCTGTCCCTCCTCCTCCTGCCCCTCCGTGCTGGTTGGTGGGGTTTCGGAGTCCAAGATGGCCCAGAAGAGAGAAGGAGGTGTCTCCAGGGCCGCTACGGACCCACCTGCACGTGCAATTTTGTGCCTGGCAGATGTCCTGCAAGCGTTTGGGCTCAATGAGTTCGAAGCCGCTGAATTGGGACGGAAGCTGAAGGAGCGAGACCCAGACAACGATCTGGAAGAAGAACTGGGCGGTTAGATACCCAGGGGGGGCCCTGTCGCTGGCCCCTGGCAGGTCTTTGGTTGTCCTGCCAGGGTGACAAAAAGTTTCCCTCGGATGGGCCCCCCTGGGTTTTGGTTTTTTGGACCGTCTGACTTTCTCCCCCCCTTTCCCCTCAGTGGCGTGCGATCCTCCTGCCCCTCCTCCTCCTCCCTCCCTCCTCCTCCCCGGAATCCTGGAATCCTGTTAGGATCCGTGGGAGCTGCAGGGGGGTCCCTACAAGGAACCATTGGAAACTGCAGAGATTCACGCCTGTGGCCATTTTCCAAGCGTTACCGTTACGGAGGGAGGGAGATAGGGGGGTCGGGGCAACACGAGTTTGAAGGGGCCCTGGGACACACAAATAAATACACACAAATAAACGTATTCCCCATATTTTCCAACATTTTCTGGCTTTTTGTGTTCCCCCACACTTCCCATATGTTCCCATCTTTTCTTCGGAGTCGACGATTAATTGTGTCTGTGTGCTTTTGTCCCCTCCTGAACGGAGGGAGGGAGCTGGGGGGTCGGGGCAACACGAGCTGCCCGCGGAGCCCATGCAAGAACAGTCCCTGAGGCAACCCAGCCGTGGTAGAGCAAGAGGGCACCCGCAGGCCCACGAAGACCAGCAGGCGCCCAAGAACCCCGACCCTCGAGCCTCGAGCGACGACGCCGACAGCGCCGCCGACCGTCGACGCCGAGGGCGGTGGTGGAGGAAAAACAAAGCGGCATCAGCATAAACTGTTGGCGCTGGCGCGGATTTCGCGGATCCAAGAAATCCGCGCGGAGCGCCAGAAGTTTGTGTTCGTGTGGTTTTTTCTTCTCCGATTCGCGGTGAGCGCGAGGATGTGGGGCGAGAAGGGTGGCCTTCTGAGAGGCCAGGGCTTCTTGGAAGTCCACCTGCCTCCCAACAAGAAAGCGTCTGACCAGCCTGCGATCCCTTCTGAGCGCCCAGTGGCTTCTCAGGAAGGGCGGTGGCGGCGCCGACGACCACGACGCGGCGGCCCCACCGGCGGTCGAGCTCCCCACGGTGAAGGCCGTGTTGTCGGCGACGGTGGTCGCTCCGTTGAGGCTGACGGCCCCCGTTCCTGCGAGGGGAGCTCTGCGTCCGCCGCCGGCTGACGTCGGAGCGTCTCTGGCTGCCTCCCTCCTCCCTCCTCCCTCCTCCCTCCTCCCTCCTCCCTCCGTCCTCCGTCCTCCGTCCTCCTCCTCCTCCGTCCTCCTCCGTCCTCCGTCCTCCTCCTCCTCCGTCCTCCGTCCTCCGTCCTCCTCCTCCTCCTCCTCCTCACTTCTTCCCAGACCACCGTCTTGAACACATCGGGGCGGATGTGCTCCACCACTCTCCCGGGCGCCCCGAGGCATGCACTGGACCCTGGGGCCGTCGTGAGCAAGAGTGGGGCGGAAGGCCAGTCCCCGTGGAGAGGTCGGGAGGTCTGGGCAGTGTCCAGCATGCGCCCAGTGCGGAGGGCACGCTCCGTTCCTGGAGGAGCGGGCCCGGACTGTGCAGTGGATCCGCACGTGGACCCATAAGGGAATCCATCCCCTGTGGATGCACCTGCAAGAGTCATGCCAAGCGGCGGAGCTGCTATACTGGAGGAGTGCACACGCTCAGGAGGGCCCATAGCGGATCGAATTGTGGATCCAGAAGTGTACCCAGCGTGGGGGCACAAGTGGTTCTCTCGTTCTCATACAGGGGATTCACCTGTGAATCGACTTACGGATCCACAGTGGATGCACTTGTGGAACTCAGACACCCCCCGCTGGCCCCTCTGCTAGAGGGAGGGAGGGAAGGAGGGGACGGACAAAACGCAGCGACGCCTGCCGTCTTTTGGGGTTCTTGGGTGCTCCCTAAAGTATTCCCGAGGCTGTCTGAAGCGGTCTGTCCTCCGACGCGTAAGGATGGCCTCGTTTGCTCCAGCAAGTCATCGCAGAAGCGCAAGTTTGACACGTCCTCAGGCCCAGATTCGCCTGAGGAAAAACTGCATACGTCAGGAACCGCGCCTGAGGGTGAGGGAAAGGCGGAGGAAGGCTCAGCGCTGCGCCTGGACTGTAGGTTTAAGGCCTGACAGGCAAGGTTGAGCCGTCGGTCAGATGACATCCCTGAGGACGCAGGAACATTCAGAATTTGACGCGCTGGCCGACGCACATCGATGGTGTGTGGTGCAGTGCTGTGAGTGTACCAGCACCTGCCTGCTTGTCTTATGGCTGACCGGATCAAGCGATAGTGTACGATCCTCACTCCCTCCTTTGGCGGGCGGGACACGCTGTCGAACCGACTAAACGAGATGCAGCGAGCTGTAGCGGAGCTGGATCTGCTCGTCCAAGGACACGCCCACCTTGAGGCTGACCTCCTCGTCTTTCGCACTGGTGACACAGCTGTCGTCCTGCAAGAGAATCACGATTGCCTCCTGCGTGCCCGCCCTGTGCCAATACCCGAACACGTTTGCCCTGTTTGTCGTATCGTGCCCGCTTGCCAAATCTATGCCGTGGATATGCGCTCAAAGACGATCCTCGCTAGCTGGCACGAGCCCAGCATCTGTCGACATCTTGGTGGCCATATAGCACTCCAGGTTTCGCCAACATCTCTGGTTGTAGATCTGCTCGTACATGACGATCACCTTGCACCTGAGGAAGATGAAAGGCACGCTGTTTCCTAACATCACCTTGAACTCAACCTCCTCCTCCCCGCTGCGCCAAACGCCGGGCCATTGAGGTGCAGATACCCAATCGATCCATAAGACATTAAAGGGACGAGGTTCCTCATCTCTTACCGATTTGCACAGCTTTTTACCAACTCTGGATCGAACTTGTCTGCCTGTGTCCAATGGTGGGGCACGGGTGCCATGTCAAGACAGAACTTTCCAGTCAGCACGCCGCCGATGTCCAACCTCCGCTTGACCAACAATCCCATGTCGCGAAGCGTGTGGTGGCGTGACATGGGCGTGTCTAGTGGAATGCGCAAAGTCAGTTCAAGTGGAATGAACCAAACATCACTGCTCTTACGCAAACCATCCTGGGTCAGTTGCTCGTCGCCCTCAATACCTGGATCCCCAATCTCCGCTTCACAGTTCCCACCGTCGCTCGGGCCTGGGTTTTCAATCTCCGCTTCATAATGTCCGCCATTGCTAGAGGCCCGTCGGTTCAACCAGCATGCCACGGCAAACATTGTGCCACAGGCCAAGCAGGAGCCAACGATGCCGAGGACGACTATCGTCGACCCGTCTGAATGCTCCTGCTCAGGCAGGGCCGCGTTGCTCGTCCTGGCTGCGGCGCTGGCCGAGGTGGAGAACTCGACTGCTGGTGGCGGCGGTGCCAGGGTGGTGGTGGTCCTCGCGCTGCTTGTGCTGGCTCCTAGTGGCGGTGGGATGGCGCAGGTGACGATGGAGCCAGCCGGGTAGCCGTTCATCGAGCTGCTGGCCAGCGTAATCGGCCCGATGCTCACAATGATGCCTGCCTCACTGTTGCCTCCGCCTCGAGTGTGATCCGTTGAGTGTTGCACCCAACTGCCAAGCGACTGCCGAGGGCCCCGACCCGAATGCCCCCAAGCGAGCCGAAGAGAGACCGAAGAGTGATGACCCAAACATCGACCGACTACCTACCAGACCACCCCAACCCAACCCGAAGACCCGAATTTGACCCGAATTTCGGGTTGGGGGGGGTGTGCGGGTTCCATGTTTTTTTCAATGCTCCCCGAAGCCACCCCACTGGAAATGGAGCGCACATTGAGGCCTTCGGGTCGGGTTGGGATGGTTTGGTGGGTGGTGAATGACTCCCCCCACCCCCGAGCGCGGCACCCGCGGGAATTCCTGTCGGGCGGGGCGCCAGGCCTGGGGAAAAGGGAGGGGAGTTGGGCAGTCTTCGAGGCTGGCGCTCGAGAGTGGGCCATGCCCTCCAAAAAACCCTAGTCGCAGTACCCATTCGGCAAATCTGCCTCACCCCCGTGGTCTGGTTGCGAAAGAGAGCCGCGCAAGCCCCACAAAACGCACCAACGTGGAACATAGAACCCCAAGATGGCCCAACGAAGATCTCGGGAGTCCACCGTGAGGGCCCTCACGGCGCCCCAGACACAACGGAGCAGAGGGGAGTGAGCAGGTGCATGGGGCAATTGCCCCTCTTCGTGCCTCCTGGCCGAGGCGGCTCATCTGTGCACCGTCGCCGAGGAAGTCGCGATGGCTACCCATACCGCTCTTCCCTGGACCTCTCCAGGGATGCGTTCTTATAGGCATCCTGGATGGGGTCCGAGTAGATGGAGTCGGGGGATCGCACAGCATCGGCGATGCATCGGGTATGCACTGGCGACGCATCGTCGACGTCGGCGATGCAGCGGCGACGTGGAGGTGGAGCAAATCGGGCTCCGCATCGAGCCGCATCGTCGATGCGGCGCCATCCACCGACCCCACCTGCTCCGACCCCATCTGGGAGGCCTGGAGTTCTGACCAGGACCTTGAAGCGAATCCAGCCGCGGCGACGAGGGGCCCCCCGGGGAGGCCCCGAGCGGCGAAGCATCGAGGGAGGGGTGGCGGCAGCGGCACCACCCGCTCCTCCCCACGCGTCGCTGGGCCCGGTGGGGCCGCCCGCGCGGCCGCGCCGCCGAACAGGCTCTGCTGTCCGGGCTTGGGGGGCCCGCGCGGGCGGGCGGCGCAGGTGCAGAAAGCGAGAAAACCATGCAAACATGAACGTTTGGCGCTGCGCGCGGGCTTCTTGAATCTGCGCTGGGCCCCTTCCCTGGCGCGCGGGGCGCGCTAGGGGCGGCACCGGAGGCGCCGCCAGGGGGGCCCAGCGCAGATCCAAGAAATCCGCGCGCAGCGCCAAAAATTAGGTCGGGCATGTCTCCCTACAGGCGGATTTGGGGTAAAAAATGAAAAACTGGCAAACATACCCCCGGATGACCAAGAATAGTCAAAACACCGTCCCCAGAGTTGTTTCTCTCTCTCTCTCTCTCTCTCTCTTTTTGTTGTGGGACAGATTTTGGATATTCCTCCTGTGGAGGGACGTGCCCGACGCAAGCCAACAGTGTACATTTTGTGGTCTTCGAGAATTGGGGGCCACGCGCCAGCGCGCGCCGCCTGCGCGTACGGGCGCGCGCCGTGCCCGGGGTTGCCAGATGCCTGGCGCCTTTGGTGGCACCAGTTCCTCGGTGGGCAGGAAGGGCCCCGTCGCGTGGTGCGAGGCCCCTCCCCCTCCCCCTCCCCCTCCCCCTCCCCCTCCTCCTCCTCCTCCTCCTCCTCCTCCTCCTCCTCCTCCTCCTCCTCCTCCTCCTGCACACTGCTGTTGCGGGCCTGCTTGGCTGCTGGCTTTCCTCAGCTGGAGGGATCTCGGCCCTCATCCATCCGCCCGCTCCTTTGGAGCCACTCAGTCGCCACGATGTTCCGTCGGGAGCCATGGCGGCCAAGGGTGCCTCTGGAGGGAGAGGGGGAGCTGGCCGAGTTTCGTGGCGCCCATGGCACGCAGCGTGGTCGAGCTCTCCTGACAAAAAAAAAAGCGAAGGAGCTGCTGGAGGCAATTGTGTCCCGCCGTGGCGGCAGGACCAATGGCCTGCCCTTCAGCCTGGTCTACGACCTTCTCGTCCTGACGGTGTTCATCCTCAGAATGAATACGGTAAGTGGGTATGCAGCTCATGCGGTTGTAAGATGAACCAGCCCTCGTACTACTTCTCCAATCGCCGTGGCTCGCTGCGCTTCTAGTCCGAATCCCTTTCGGCAGGTTCCGCTTGGACATCGGCGGCGGGCCTCGGTCTTTCCAAGCCTGGCGACGGCGCTCGTGCTCCTGGCTTGCAGGGTTCTGGCGGTGGGCCCCATCAGAATGGCAACCAGTTCGCCTCTCTCACGAACGCGGAGCAAGAGTCCTTCACCGCCTTGTCCGAGAAACTGGGCATGACGGAAGACGCTAGCCGCGCCCGTGCTCAACTTGCTTCTCGGCGCCCCGCACAGGCTTTCAAACGTCGGCCTCCAGGAGCAGCTGGCGCGCGTCCAGCGCAAGCGGCTCAAGCATGGCCACCGCGTGGACAAGGATACCAACAGGGCTGCAGCTCTGGAGTCGCAGTTGGACGGCCAGCGCAGGCTCGCCGGGCCCATGCGCACTGAACTGG